GATATTTATATATATGTATCGTACGTGTACAGTTTAACCGGCTCTATAAGCCACCTGTCCAAGACAATCACCGATACAAATGATCACTCTTCCCATTTCCTCGTGTGATTTTTCTGTATAATAATGACACTGTCCTAGAGGTTCACCTGCATAAAACAAACACTTTTCTCATTGACATTGAGTAGCCGACTTTGATAATTTGGACTGTATACTGTTCATTATATACGGAGGGAAGGGGGGAGGGAAGGAGGTAGAGTCATTATGTCATTGATGATAAAATTAACTTGATAATATTAAATTTTGAATAATTTTGATGTTATGGTGGTGGATAGCAATCGCAATCAACTGAAAGATATGTTTACATATCAGATCAATCGTGCTCAGAAAGTCTCTTGGTACTGGAAAACATTTTTAGATGTCGGAGTCAATTTGACATCTGAGCTTCATTGGCACCAAAAATATTTTGACAATCTGTTGTATAATTTACCCGCAAATACATGTAATTCTGTAAAATATGTTGCTTGACAACAAATTTGTTAAATGGTTGCAAGAAAGCGGCTTGATCATTGTCTGAATGTTCACATTTATTTATATAAAAGCAAACTTGTATATATATCAAGGTGACCTTTTGATGTGAGTGCTTATTGGGTTATTAAAAAATATATGTCTTTTAAAAAAGCATTCCAAATTCTTCTTGATTAGAAATCTGAAGTCATTTGAAGAACCTGTTTTCTCCCAAATGTTTCATTATTTTTGCTACTTCACACTAAACAGTTATTGTAAGTAGTGTGAAAAAAGTCTTCCTTTTACCATTTGTTGCCATCTTGAACAGGGCTGTAAATGTAATACTCAGTGTACACTGCCCATCCATCGAATGGCAGATTTGACTGGCATCCTTGAAAGCAAATGAGTTTGATTTTGAAGTTCACAATCGTATTCAGTTGAATTCATTTGAATTGCGCCATAATGGCAGCTTTTGCCCAAGAGTCTGGCTTACCCTGACTCAGTTAAATGAATTTGTTTGGCAGCAGTAACACTCTGTATAACTAATAATATTTGTTTATTGCAGGCTTTAAATCCGGTCGTCTCTTTCGACACATGTCAAAGGATCTCATCAGACATCTGGCAACAGAGCCTTTGACACAGAATAATCATAAATTCAGCCTTCTTGTGGAGGTAAAACTTTCATGTAGCATGTTTCTTTCCCAAAACAGTATTTTAATGTTTATGTGTCTCTAAATAAGGAGCTTCTTAAATTGTGGCCTAGAGTTTAAGGTGCTCGCCTCTCATTCAAAGGTCCCGGGTTCGAATCCAGGTAGCGACCGAAAACTTTCTTCTCTAAAATTGTCTCCCTTCACCTCCTTTCCTGCTCTCTAGCAATGTTCTGTCGTCTGCTTTCCTCTCCTCTTTCTGCCCCCACCCTCTTTTGCCCCCTCCTCTGGGCTCCTGACTTTTTCTGCAGCCTTTCAACTGCTACTCCTTGGCTCCTTTTTACTGCTGTTTTTCAGCCATACCCCTGATCTTCTGGTAAGAAAGATCTACACCTAGCCTTCTCGGAAAAGGGCGAAAAATCTTGGAGGTTCCGTGCGCAAGTTGCAAACGTTAAAGATCCCTTGGTGGTCAAAAATCGATAAGAGTTGGCTTCGACCGCCACCCGGACAAAATTCAAATTTTCCTACCAACTGAAAAATGTTTGGTGTGTCCCAAGTGCTCATATGACCTTATGCAGTTGCGAGCGCCATAAAACACTTACCAAAATATTTTAAAAATTAAAAATCTCTAAACACTCCAGTTATCCGTTTTTAATCAGTCTGAATTTTTGTGTGTTGTGAACTATATAGAGTCTTCAGAAAGAAAATTTTTCTTGATTAAAACTATAAGAAAGGATGTATTTTGATGTGGTGTTTTGTTTTTTATGTGTCTCAATTATTTTAAAACGTCATCTTATTTTTCAATGTGCCCCCAGGATTTTAAAAAGTCATCTTTGCTGTCGGGTTTCTACCAAATACTTTCTACAAGCACTGGACCAGATCAGCAAGAATTTATCTCTACTTTTGAAGGTAATATCCATTGAATAACAAAGTAAGGCCGGAATTTGGAAGCAGCTTCAATTTACAAGCTTTTTTTCTAATATTATAATAATTTTTTTAACGCAACTCACAATGAGAGTGGTGTTTATACAATATCAATATCAAGCCCTTTCTTTAGCAGGGCTTGGTGGTGGCATCTTGTTTGGTGGGGCTTGCAGCTTCACCAAAAACAAAACAAAAACTTAGTAAAAACTTTTAAAGGGACAAAACATAACACTCTGATAAAAAGCGTCACCTCACGAACACCCATACGTAACTTCGGAGGCATAGTAACTCAAAAAGTGATCTGATTGGTCAGAGTGTCAACTGCTATAATTTACTATGACTATAGCCCCATCCAGTCAGGTGCTCCTTCTGTTTGGGAGAATAAAATTCCATTGGTTTGTTTTGTCCCCCCCGGTTCATCAGTTCCCAAAAACTGAATATGACTGGGGTATCAACCTTGCGTGGTTCAAGGCTGAGACAAAGAAACTGATAGTTGTTTTAAGCTCAGGGGCAGAAGTCGCACTGTGTGATGTGCCTAGGCATAGCTTTACTCTTGACACCAAATTTGTACACCCTCATGCTCCACGCTAAAGTTTAAACAGAGCACGCTGCTTTCCCCCCCGGCTCTCTGTTTTCTCTAATTAAACGGTGTTCCTAGGAAGGTGTCACAGGGCTTAGATTGTGTGTGAACACTTGAGTGAAATTTTGTGATGTTTTGCGTATGTACACTTGCATTAACGTCTTTAACTCACTCACTACCACACCCGCAACTGTTGCGGGTAAAGTAGCTCCGACGTTGTGATACCACACCCGTAACCCTCACAGTTCGCACTTTGGAATTTTTTTGTCACGTTAAAACTGCACCGTTTGCAGTACTGGTTTGTCTTTTTCGTAGCTCATTCAATTATCTTTCACTAGAAAGAAACGAAAATAGAATCGGATGAGTGCAAGTTGAGTTACTGGCTTTTACGACAACTGCCCTTAGAACTGAATTTACCATTCTGTTTCCCACAATGACAGATCGCTTACATTGACAGTTTTCGAGCGTTTGATGACGAAAGTGACTTAGAAACCAATGTATTAGTCAAAGATTGTTATGACGAACTGGGTGGAAAAATTTGCAAAGAAGAGTAAGGTTTAGTAATGCACCCAAAACCTAGATCTAGAGTTGCAGTAGTGGGGAAGGGTGTGAGTAAGAAAGGCAAATGAAAGCAATTTTTGAACAATTTTTGAAAACTTGTGGAAAAAAAAGTAACAATAAAACAAGGCTGTTATTTCATCAGGGCAATCTGTATTATGTTCACAAATAATATTCCAATTTTCAAGTGTCAATGTTAATTAGCAAAAGCACAGTGATTTTTAAAAAAATACCCTTTAACTCATTCGCTACGCCGAGCCGTGGGGGGTGCGGCGCAGCTAAAGTGCCGTCAGTACACTAAGCCGCCCCCAGCGGCTCAACAACCGACGTTCAATTTTAGCTTAGATTGAATTCCAATCCACATATCCATGTTAAAATAAAGGTCATAATATAATGTTGACTTCCGGGTCGAGCGTTTCCACCGAAAATCTGAAGTTTTTATTCAATTTTGAAACTCGATTTCGAAGTTTATGCGACTTTGTCTTATGACGATGCTCAAATTATAGCCCAGACACCGGTCTTACTACTTTTCACAACAAAATATATCATTATTTTGCACACTAAAGAAATGTAGGACTCTTCTTTAGAATATTGATACGATTTGGCTCAAATTGACATTGCTCTGTAATTGAAAAATCAATATTTTTCAGTGCTAGATCTAGATCTAGATCTAAATTGTAAAATCATTTTTTTCTCCCAAAAATCACTATTTTTTTGTGAAATTACACAAATAGTATCACTCAAGAAATGTGTAGGTTTATTCCAAATGCAATTCTGAATAATTCCATATACGATACAAGTGGGTTTTTTTCTGTTTGTGAATGCATCTTGTCCATTTTTCAAGATTATAAAATTTTTAATCTTTTTTCAATGCCGGATGTCATGATCTAAATGTGCAAATTTTATGGAATGTATATAAATAACTACACTTTTTTCAATATTTTCCAGTTCTATTAGGTACCAGAAACTAAATTTTCAAAGTAGCTGTATGCCAAATTTATCTGTTCCATTTGAAAGGCCTATGTCCACTGAGCATTTTGGTACCATTCTTTAACCTCTCAGTCGATTTTTAAGAAAATGGTAGTTGTTTAAAATTTGATCAAATTTGTTAAAGTCAGTCACTGGCTGCAACCCCATGTTTGACAGACAATAAAAGAGTACCAAGAGCACTAAACATCTCAACATTAACAGAGTACAATCGCTATAACAAATATACATGGAGCCTAAATTTTTTCAAGACTGAGATCATTACAAATGAGTATTTTATCGCCTCAAACACGATGATCTGTCGTTATTTCGACAAAAACACGGAGCGTTGACCTGGCCGGGGCCACACCAGTCCCCGTGGCGAGCGAGTCGGCTTATACTGTTGTGTACCCCGCGTGCGAGGTCACATGCTTTCTGATTCTCGCAGAAGGATTTATATAAAATAATTCCAAGTTGATTACTTTATTCAAATAGGAAATAAACTGATCTTTTACTTGATATATTTTTTAAGACGGTATTTTACGTATTTTGTGTAAAAAGTGATCTTTAAACATTTTGACAGTATTTTTAAAAGCTTTCTATTTAGATGCCAAAGGCCAAATACATACCACGGGAAAGCCCGTTTAAAGCTCTACAGTTCTCCGCCAATGAAAAGACGATATTTAATCATCCCTTGTTCCGCGAAGCATTTGAATGCACGCGTGTCAATTTTTCAATCGGCCGACCACGCATTCCGACCTTGAGGGGCTTCGCTTTCGTCGGCGATTCTCCAGCTCCTAATAATCGGACATAAAAACAACTTTCACCACTGTAACGAGGAAAAGCTGAACTTTTACAAGGTGTACAGCATTTGGTGTTTTATAGCGAAAGAGCAAAGAAACAGCCATCGGAATTACCCCGATTTCACCGATACCACGCGGTCGGAAGGCCGCGAGGCCGTGTTTACGCTACCTGGTTCTATATATATTCATTTATGGTTATTTTGATGTATCATTTGACTCGGTGCAAACACATTGTTTGTGTTTCACCGAAGATGGTAATTTTTTTATTTTCAAATTTTATCCGAATCCAAGCAAAATTGTGTTGCATAATCGCCTCTTACAGGAACCAAAGTTGAAAAATACACAAAAAAACATTACAGATGTATTCTACAAATCATACTGAAAATTTCGGTGTATAATATGTTAACGTTTATTTGAATTTGTGGCCCCAAAGACCTTTGAACTGTGCATTAGTCATCGTCACATTTCGCCTTCCCGAAAAAAATTCGTCCACAAGCCGAAAATAATGCGTAGCGAATGAGTTAAATGGCTGGTACACAGGGAATAGCGATCTCGAAAATGGCTGGAAGTGAGTGAGTTAAACTCTCATAAACAGGTCACAAACAGTAATTATGATGGTTAAGAAAACGCATCGGTAACTGAACTTTTTAAAAACTAACTTTTTAACACGTCCCAATAGTTTCTAATTGCTTTAGCATTTTCCATTTTCTAGTCTATGTTGGTGCTATTGGAATATTTTAAAAGGCATGAGGGTCCAAAGCATAAGTTGAAGAAATAAGCTTTAAAAATTGTCCATATTCAGGCTTCATAGAAATTGAAATAAAGGCCATGCAGTCTCTCTGTTTCTACTGCTATAGTATTCATTCACTGTGGTTTTTCCATGAAAAGGCTGTACAGTTCTCTTTTGTTTAGATAATTCAGATTTTTAGCAACATCTGGCTGCTATATGTTCTCTAAACAATATGTTAAAATAATTTGGAACAGCATTTGTTGAGCAAATTCCTTTGGAATCAAAATTTAGAAATGGCTTATCTTTCCTTTTCCAGAAGACCGTGATTGAGATAAAAATGAAGTAGCATCAGCATTCAGTATGTGTTTCAATTCATCTTTGATTGTTTTGTAGTATTGTAAAAATATTATATTTGATTTGTTTTAATTGCATTTCAGTTTGAAAATATCATTTTTGTTCTTGCCAATGTAATTGACGTTGATTTCTCACCATTTCTCTGAAGGATATATCCAGTTCTATTTTCTAAACTTCCTTTCAGCCAAAGCATTTCCATTTTATGGCACCCAGTATCATCCAGAGAAGAGCATTTTCAAATGGCAGACAAACATTGCAGTTAACCATGGGTTTTATTCTGTGCTTGCATCTCAGTACATGGCAGACTTCTTTGTCAATGAAGGTTAGTACTTTTGTATCCAAGCCAGTAGACAAGGCTGTCGATCCATTTTGTTGAACATGACTGAGATCTTTTAAATAAGATAACACCTTTTACTCAAGAGATGATCCTGGAAGAGTAAAAATTAAGGAGATGTTAGTACAAAAGACAATAGTAAAAGGATCGACCCTGATATGATGATATAGTACTGAGAAGTCGGAAAACGTCAAGAGAAATTGTTGAGGCTCATAAGCTTAAAGGTATAGTGTTCACCTCTCATATCAAAGCTCCTGATCTGATATTTACTTTGTACAGGCATTGACTGTAGGGTTGTTTAGATTTTTCTCAAGTTTTTCACTTTTGTGGTTCTAGGATAATTGAAATCTAACACCTGGTCGTCCTGGTTGGATGAGGTGTAAATGTTAGGACAGGCTTTTCTGAGGGTTGGCTGCTTAGACTATATTATAAGTGAAGAAACTCCAATCAATGATCAGTATAAATAATCAGAAGCTGGTTTGGTATGGTTTCTATTTATGGGTTTAATGCCCCAGTGAACACCTTACAGACATTTATGAGGCAAGAACTCCGTATTTAATGTAAATCTCCTATAGGACTCCGTCAAGTGTTTAAAAAGTGAAGAAAACTCCCCCAAACTACTCATGATAAAAAAATGTGCTCTTGGGGATTCAAGCTAGGGCCATCTGCTCCATAGCCTAACATGAAAAATATCTACGCTATCAGCCCACGATATAATCAAAAGATTTGGAAGACAGTGCACAGCTGCTTGAATTTCACAGGTCCTTCACTCAATTTGAAAAAACAACAACTGACGTGCACAATGGTAAAGACAGCTTATGTGTGATTTGAGGGCCCTTGATATCTTGCATGATAAAGTAGAAGAAGAAAAGAAATGGAGGATCATATACTGTCTTATCTCTGCAATGAACCGATGCTTGAATGAAGAAGTAAGTTAAATCAATTTGAAGAGACATTTAAATAGAGATACAACTCCACCTTTTGTATCATAATGAAATATTTGGACTGCTAGGTAAAGGATTTAAATACAGATAAGCCTTGTGATTTCTGCTAAATGAAATCTTTATCCATATTTATTGTCAGTGTGGCTTATGAGTGTGGTGCATGTGTGTGTTTGTGTGTGTGTGTGTGTGTATGAGAGAGAGAGAGAGAGAGAGAGAGAGAGAGAGAGAGAGAGAGAGAGAGAGAGAGAGAGAGAGGGAGAGGGAGAGGGAGAGGGAGAGGGAGAGGGAGAGGGAGAGGGAGAGGGAGAGAGAGAGAGAGAGAGAGAGAGAGAGAGATCAAAATTTTCTGATCAGAACTATCACTGGTGATGAAACCTGAATCTTATCATAAGACCAAGCATTGAAAGAACAATCGACACAGTGGTCAAATCCCAACCAACCTTGAACAGTGAAATCATGTTGAAAACAAGGAAGAATCAAAGTCAGACACATTGTGTTTTTTGACAATACAGGCATAATTTTGTGTTGACCAGTCCTGTTTGTTTGCATCACTGTTAATGATGAATACTAAACTACAGATCAGCAATAAAACATAAACTGAGGCCAGGCATCATGAAAATGACCTAGAGTGCTGGAATCAAGTGTCATCTTTCACTATTATGACGCATATTTTCACAAATTCAAACTGATCTGTGAACTTTTCAAGGGCAGAAAATCAATGGCATTTGCTGGAGCATGCACAGTATTCACCAGATCAAGCCCCTTGTGATTTTTTTGTTTCTTAAACTGAAAGAAATGCTGCGTGGTCAGAGATTTGAGGACTCAAGGATTCAAGAGGTGGCCAGGAAAGAATAAGGGGCTTGTACGAAGGAACACTGGTTTATGTTACTGAACGCTGGTTGCATGGCATGGAAAAATGTATAGACCTTAATGTGTTAAATTGATACCATAATAAAGTTTAATTTGAAATATATTTTAAAAATTGATAAACTATATTTGTGAGCTTCTTAGCTGCAGGAAACTAATTCATGGGGCACATCTTTTAGTAACACTATTCAGCCACTTGGTAACATAGACCCTTTGAAGATGGATGCATTTTTTTCAGTGGCACATCAAAGAATTTATAAAAATCTTCCTTAAAAAAATTATGGTCAAGAGAATGCAGCTAGCCACATACCTGTGGGGAAAAATAATCTTCTGTTGACCTCTTTCTTGCTGAATATTGTTTTAGGGGCCTAAAAGAGAAAACTCTACTAATAGAGCAAGGTCAGGACTTGTGGATGAGGCAAGACCTCCCAGTCATGCTCATGGATCCAGTCTTTAGTCAGGTTCACTGTGTGAGGAGAAGTGTTGTCTTGTTTGATGTGATGTCACCATACTTCATTCTATGCATATTGTTAATTATAACCATTTTCACATTACTTTCTGGACTGACTTCATAACATAAGGCCTGGCGCTCATGTGACCTTATGCAGTTGCAATTGCCGTAAAACCTCTACTAAAACTAAAAACTAACTAACATAAGGCCGAGTCAGAGGAAAAATTCACTGACTTGAAAGGGTATTCACTAAACTTGAAATGGTCTTGCCTTACTATAAGAAAATAACATCTTATCTAGCAGATTTGAAGTTAAATATTAGGATTGGTGTTTACAAATTTTATTAAGTCCTACATTCTTTTGTATTCCTCCTTCTGCAGCTCGGAAAAGCAAACATGGCTTTGAATCTGTGGATTTTGAGGCTCATCAGCTTATTGAAAACGACATGGAAGTATTCAGGGCGGACCATACTTTCAGGGACACTTATTATTTTAATTTTACCAATAGCAAACCATTACTATTTCAACCTGCTGGAAAGCAGAATGAAAAACAAATGCCATTAGTCCCTTCGGCTTGATAAATTATCTGTTTTAAACCAGTCAGTTTCCCTCTTTTAGATTGAAATAATTTACATAAGGCCGGTCAGTATTGTTTCTGTGTGTGTGCATGTGTTTCATTGTGTGTATCCTAGATGTTTTATACCAATGGTGAATAGACAGCATTCGTTTTGAAGCATCGGACTATGATCAAAGTACAGGAAAGTGGACATACTTCTGGTGAGCTTGATAAAACTCAATGTTTGCAATGTTTTTAAAAAAACTTTTTGATCAGTCTTGTTTGTTGAAAACCTTGTTGAATTACAGAGCCTACCTCCTTTTACTTTTAACAAATTTTCCAAGACTAATACAAAGAAATAATTGAAAGGAAGGGATCTATACACCCCAGTGTGAAGGTGCGAAAAGGAAAAATAAAAAGTTACACACAGATTGAATCCACTTAGGATGAAATATTTTTAGGATGGCAATGTCTTACACGAAACAGGAATAAAATGTATACATTTTGGTGAAATTAATTTTAATACTGTTTTCCATCACTTCTCAATGAATGTAATATCTCCCTCACCATGTCTCAACAGATCTTCCATGAATTTTAAACCCCAACTTAAATCAATCAAATGTAAATATAAATATCAGCTTTTAAATCACATATATTGAACATGACAAGTAAAAATATTTGAAAGATTAGCTTTAAACTAATCAAATTTAATTTTTAAGGACTGAACAAATGATTGAACAACTATCCGTACGTCCGGGGGTCATTTTGTACCCCCGGGGTTGTATTCTTTACATTTTCCAATACTTCTAGTACGAAGATCTCTTTGAAACTTTTAGTATTTCTCAAAAAATCGTTTTGACAGACTGCTATTCAAAGCGTTCGGGTCGGATTAAAGAGTTAATTTCTTCTTTGGAAAGTGGTGGCACAGAGTTCCCCACATCGTCCTCTATGTGTGTATTGAGGGGACAAAAGCATTTATATATATATGGTGTGAACTAATTCAAGTATCTTTGAGTAGTTTTTTTTAAAGAAAATGTTGAATTATTACTATTTTTCCAATCGTCCTTTTAATTTTCTTCAAAGCATTTGGATTTTCAGGGTAAAAACAAAAGCACAAATTCTGAACCAGTCAGAATGCCCAAAAGAATAATGCACAAAGAGTCTTCCATATCTCGTCAAGAAATTTAATATCTGCTGAAGTTGATCATTTTTAAAATTAAAGTTGAATATATGCACAAATTTTAGCCTACATTTAACAGACAGAACTATACACATGTTTCTGTGCCCCTTTCTGTCGTTCATCAGGTGCTTGAAATATGTTGTTAAAGCACATCTAGGTTCTAGATTACTTCCTTTAAATGTGTTCTTACAGAGTGAAACATGAGAAAGGGTGAGTTATTAAGAATGAGATTGAAAGATTCAGCCAGATACAACCTGTATTACAAACTGAATATTTATGATTTCTAGCTACCTGTTCAATGTCTGAATATTCTTATATCGAACAATAAATTTTTATAGCTCCTAGAGATGTTTACATCTTTTATTGAACAATCTGCGTGTGAACAAGTTCCAATAGATCAACCAACTACTAACTAGTGCATCATGTAGAGTGCTTAGTAGGCATACCTGTGTAAGGGCACTTGATTGAAAAATGCTGATTTAGAAGGACAGGAAATTGGAGTCAGGCATGGGCTTACTCTTAATTTTTCAGTCCTCTCATAAGCCTGTTACTGTTGCTGAGAATATTGCAGTCACTTACTATGATCTGGTCAAATACGGCACAAAAGTATAAAGTTATTTTTACTATTAAATGTTGATCACAATTTTGGCTCATTTTCATTAGTTTTGACATTATGCATTTATGTTAGAGGACATAATTTTACATTTATTTTTATTGCAAAAGAGCACTTGCATCTTTTAACCCTTTGAGCCTACCGGACCTGAGTGGACTGCGGGAGATAAGCACCACTCTACGCTGACGCGCGTTTTGGGTGCAAAGATGGTAAATAAGGTCTATTGAGTTAAGGATTGCATTTTTTTTGTCACTGAGAACTGTGTTTTCTCTTTTAAATGATAACATTTTGATATGAAATTATTGCTCTTAAAAAGGCTTATCATGTTCTGTCTGTTCCTCTATTGCCAAGCTTTCCTAATTTTTAAAGAAATTATATCACAGGGTGAGTCGCTCAATAGTTTGGATTTTGATGCCAATTCACCGATTTTTCCCAGCTTTCTTGTGTACCCTGCCAGTTTTAACTAATATCACAACTATTTTACTGTTATTTCATTTTCATCAAGAAAAATGTTACAGTGTATTTCGATACGTTTGCTTCCTGGCCATTTTTGTTATAAAATTTTCAATTGTCAACTTCCTTATTTTACTTATCTGAAATGTCTTCTTAAAGAATTTCTTAGCTTATTGGTGTTTCATTTCTTTCAAAGGAACATGCAAGTAAGTGTTATGACAACTAAAAATGCGAGATGTACAATATGCCTTTTATCAAGTCCTCAAGATTATAAAGGACTGTAATCTATTTATGCTGTATACTATTTCAGCAGATTTTTATTTGTGTGATTTCCTGACAGAGACATTGTATATCCATGCTGCTGTTGTATTGACTAATTCCTTCTTTAGATTATAACTGATGTCTTCACTTGTCGAACTTGATATCTGAGGAGATACAGGCCTTTACTCTAGCTAATTATCCTTTCAAATTTTGAATAGTGTTGTTGTTAACATTCCATTTTCCGTACTTTATTTGTGTCTAAACAGCTGTAGATCATTTATCTGCTGGTAATTGTGCCCGTTTTCCATTACTTTTGATTTTGATCATCAGAAAGTCCATCATTCTTGACTTTGCCTTGTTGCACGAACCTATTAGTTGACATCATAGTCATAGGACAATTACTTTAATTAATTTTTTATGCCTTTACAAATCAATGAACAAAAGTAAGCAATTTCACATGGCATCCAGAAATTGAAGCATAGATATATGACATGATGCATGAGGTTGTATGAATATTTTGATATATTGTGGCCTGACCTAATAAAAAAACAAAGTGTAGGGAAATCTATATAATTTAATGTGAGATTTGGTGTGGATTGATTTTGGTCCTGTGCTGTATGCGGCGCGGACATTCTTCACTGTGTCTTGAGGGCACTTAGTCAACTTAGTGTGGGATGTGACATTGCCATGGCCACTCAATCAGTGGCATACTTTGCCGTGTTGTGTTTGGTACTTGCTATGAGTAAGCACATACGATCTATGGCTGTTGCTCAATGTCAAAGTCAAAGTAAACACATACGATCTATGGCTGTTGCTCAATGTCAAAGTCAAAGTAAACACATACGATCTATGGCTGTTGCTCAATGTCAAAGTCAAAGTAAAGGCACATACGATCTATGGCTGTTGCTCAATGTCAAAGTCAAAGTAAAGGCACATACGATCTATGGCTGTTGCTCAATGTCAAAGTCAAAGTAAACGTACTTATTGAATGCAGTGGAAAGAGTCTGGTAGGCATACATTTTAAGTTAAACATGTAGGCTACCTCAATACTCATCATAGAAAATTGATATATATGGACTCTTTCATGTAATAACAATGATTTCCAAAAGATGTTAGCCAATTCAAAACATGTAGAGCTACATCTTTTATTAGTTTGGTAAATTTTGAAACTTTAACTTTTTCTCACATGGACCCCACTTTGAATTTCTGTGTTGATACTTTGAAAATAAAGATAGTTACTACGTTTTAATTTGATTTTTATTGCTTTGTAAGTTTTGATTGTTGGTTTTATAATGTAGTATTGAATTCATATCCGTCGATACCGATTTGCTGCTGGGAAAATAAGTATTTAATTTAAATAATTCAAAGCTGTCAATGGCTGAAATTGTACATAGGAATTGTCTATCACAACACAGCAGTCAGATCACTTATTGTTCTTCCTTTTCAAAGATGTGCCAATTGTTGATATCATGTAGGTATTTCTTTTCCATCTTTCAGTCTGATGCTTTCTTTTCCCTGAAGCAGGTACGCTTACCATCATGCCTTTGTGCTTCTACTTCTATTAAAATAAACTCCACTACTTCAGGGTAAGAAATCAATGATGAGAGGTTGATATCAGAAGTTCAAAACAAACAAGGACAGAAGTACTGGATGTTAAGTCTGTAATATAAATGTGGTCAAAGACTCTCTGTGATTGCACTGACAAAAATTAGAGACAGTTTGTCGGCTCCAAAATTATAGCTGCAGTTGGCCCCTCTTACACCAGTCTTGACTATAAAAGGATTCCGGGTATTGCAGGCGTATAATAAATCAAAAGTCCAATCTCTTATAATATACAGTAAGAAAAAGTTCTTTTATAGCTGGCATGTGGACAGACACGCTTGGCTAGACAAAGGCCCAATGTGGGTTCTCATTAAAAGATTCTCATTACTACATGCTACTATAAGTACAAGTATAGGTATTCCAATAAATTTAAATATGAAAATATTTAAAGTACAGTAACTGAAACTGTCTACTAAAAGTCACTATGTCAAATTGAAATGCCGGTATTTGCCGATGAGAACAATGGAATGTATTACATTCATACTCAAGTTGAATTTGGAGACTGATTAAATAGTCAGTTAAAAAAAAAGGGGATTCCGCAAGGTGAGTGAGGCTATATGGGACCCGCAAAATTAAGAGTCATAGAGATACAGACATCCTCCCTGCATTAAATATACTCATTAAAAGAAAAAGTTTGGACTTAGAACTACTTTATTTTACATTTCATAATATATATAGTGCCCCTTTTCTAGTCCCGTTTTAAATCAATAGAGGGTGGCAGCTTCGCAAATCTTCTGCCTCTGAATAGCGCGTGCACATACACCATAGCGAATTATAGTACGTACTATAATTTACTATCACTTACACCCATTGTATCCCAAGACCTCACGGCTGTGACTAGTAACACCAAAAGCACACGCCCCCACAAGCTTTGCACAGCCCAAGATGAACCAGCAGTTGGGATGCGCGTTTAGCATACAAATTTTTTACCGAAAAACTTCATTTTTAACTCTCAAGGTTTTACTGGCATATGTAATACGATATAAACTTCAATTTGAGCAACAAAAAACAAAAAAACAAAAAAAATTTGGCCCCTGCACGGATAGCATCATGCACCGTCAATTTATATAGGCCCTATTATATATTTATACAGTCTAACCTGTGTAAGACGGCCACACATTGTCGAGGGGAAAAGTGGCCGTATAAGACAGGTGGGCGTCTTAGGCAGGACTGATAAAAACACACCAAAAAAAACTACTCCTGAGGAGGTCCCAAACTGGAGGTGGTTGCATGCTTAGGACTGCCCTAGGGTTGTTGTTGTTATTTCTTTTGAAAGGGGGGGGAGAGGATAGGATGGTTTTTGTGGGAGTTTTTGTTGTTAGTTTTATTTTTATTTTTAAATTATGGTTCCGGGAAAGAGTAAAACAAAACAAAATGTTTCAGACGAGGAAGGTCAAGTGTCATAGTAAAACTAAAACAAATAAATGGGTCGCTGTGTGTGATGATCGAAGATGCTACTAGCGTAGCCTAGGCCTACTACAGAAAAGAGATTAACATGAATATGGATGAGTTGATGCATTCTGCCATAGACAAATTGGAACAAGACAAGAAAGAACAATCTGCTAGTTCTACTGCCAGTTCAGAAGATGAGGCAGAAAAAGTATTAAAAGACCTGTTACCAGACTTTGCATACGTATGTATATCAAAGCACACAAGAGGAACGTTCATTCTCAGACAAAAACATAGTAGATTTTTCTAGATCTATCTCGATCTAGATATCTAGATTCTAAGCCCAGTAGCATCTATCTATAGAAATTTAGATTTAATCTAGACCTAGATCGTCCATTCATGTATAAATGCTCATTCGTCTGCTTGTTTTGGATTGACAGAAAGCAAGCTGGAGGCAGTGGAGGAATATTTATTCGAAGTGACTATTTCTCCGAACGCTCGGGAAAATAAACTTGATCTCTATTTCTCCGAACGGTTTCCGTTCTTGAGATTGTTTGGTTATTTGCGAGATTTAGATCTGGGCGTCATCTTTCATTTTGCCATTCTGTGAGGACGGAGAAGAAGCATGTTTTGCATCGAATTCAATTTCTAGAGCTAGATCTAGAGATTTTTAAATGTCTGAATATTCAGATACTTCAGCTGTGGTTGGGGCCACGTTCCCGGAATATACTTCATTTGAAAATGCATTCAAAAGGTACTGCGAGAAAACAGGACTGCTCAACGTTGGCAGTAACTTATTTAGCATTTTAGTCACCCCAAAAGCAAAAACTAAAATCCTTCATGTTAACCAAAAAAAATCCCTCCACGCCCCCCGCCCCATTCACACTTTATATATACACACACATGCACACATGCACACACACACACACTCTCACACTCACACACACACACACATGTGTGCGCTCGCGGGCCGCTCCATTAGCAAATTATCAACAAATCTTGAGAACGGAAATGGTTCGGAGAAATAGAGTTCAAGTTTATTTTCCTGAGCTTTCGGGGAAATAAGAGCCGGCTATATTTATTTTGATAAAATTTCACTACTTTCAGAATTGGTGATTTTGATAGCTTTTCAAGCAAAGCAAGTTTATAATTATATCTTTTTGCTAAGAAGGATGAGTATTAGATCTAAGTGTCAGTAAATCTAGCTAGATCTAGTGTAGAGCCACTGCCACTAGGACAATCTTGAACCTGTGTTCGTTTTATTCCTTACTTAGAAGATTAGATGACTAAACATGATCTCTTATTGACTATATAAAAGTCAATTTAAGCTTCATTTCGTTAGAAAAATGTGTTAGGTTTGCTAACTTCTTAGACTTTGCGTTAAACAACATTTTAACAAAATAAAGCCTTACAAGCTTTAGCCTTTGTAATCTTGACAGTTTAGATGTAGAAGTGTCTACTACTTGAGTCTAGATCAAGTCCAATTTATTTAATCTCTTCACTATACTGGATTCCAAAAATCTGCGCAACTACATTACAACTAGATCTAGATTCGAGATTTTAGTACAGGCAGAGTCCAGGGAAAAACATCAACAAATTCGCGAGGCGATGAGTAAAGAGAGACCAAAACAATCTAAATGTCGCGACTATCACGGCATATCACTCCACCCATGCTCCGGTAACTAGGTCTATAAATAAATTGAAGTTTGACCCATGTCAAAGGTTGGAAATGTGGCTGATGATTCGAAATGTTTCTGCGGGTTGACGAATCAGAACTGCACGTCGCCACCACTTGGCGAACAAGCAACACTTCAGTCGTGAGTTTGTGTTAACTTCAATTGTTATGGACTTGGTTTATGGACTGAGTTGTGGGTGGGCCTTTATACGTTATGACGGATCACACACTTCCCTTATCAGCAGCTGAAAATTTATTGTTACCCATTGGTCAACTTGGGTAAACATTGGGAGTGACCTAAGCAACATGACCGTTTCATCCATTGGAGGGAGTGACAACAATGACAGGTAATGAATTATGACGGCTTGTCAACAACTCAGGGGATAAAGCATAATTTTTGACAAAGTCTGACCGCCTTAGGCAGGTAGATTTGGTCGTGGGTTGATAAAATAGGGTGGCTGCGGCCGCGTGGACAGGTGCCCGTTTTACACAAATTATATATATAGAAAAGACGCAAGGGGGGAAATGGAAAGAGGCCGTTTGTACAGGTAGCCGTCTTACAGAGGTGGCCGTCATGGCAGGTTCGACTGTATAATATATATACCGAGTTGCAAAAGTTCTGCCACACCCAATATATTAAGATAATTTTTGGTACAGCATAAGAATTGCAGTAAAAATTAAAAGTATGACTTGTGTGACTTATGAGACTCCATGAGCAAAAGCCGACGAAAGAAATCATAAACCGGAAGTAGTACGTGGACAAAGTGTTGGTATTGATTTCTCTCCGTCTGCGTTGAAATCAACGCTTCCTGCACACAAAAATTGCTTTGATTCACGTAGACAATGTGTAAACACACCTTACACACTATCTGTACTTTTTAACGGTCGGGTAGTTTTTTCACCGGTTTTAAAAAAAACAAAAAAAACCCTGATAAATTCAGAAAATAAAGGATTTGTGTGTTTGATAAATTCTTGAATTACCTTTTCTGCTTTTGCAAGACACGTAAATGTGTGCAGAAGAATCATTTAACTCTTGAACAAACGTATTAACACCACTAGAACTGTTAGAGACAAACCTAGACGTGGCCAACCAAGGGTGACAACTCAACATCAGAATTGGGTTATTGTCAACACCCATGTTCGAAACCCGTTCCAACTAAGTACAGAGACGACTACCAGGTACTTCAGACTGTCTTTAAACACCATTATTAGACATTTACGAGATCGCAAATTTCGTGATTATCGCCCTTTGCGAGGAGCCATTCTAATCCTGTTTCATCGAAGAAATCGCCAAATTTTGGCACAACAACATTGGCTATGAAACTTAAGACATTGGTAAAGTGTTCTTTTAAGCAATGGTTAAGGTTTTTAATTCGTCGCGTTGATGGAAAAGAAAAAGTGTTTAAAAGAAGATAGAGATTTCACAAATCCAACGTCCCCCCAGAGGCCTGAATCAGTAGCTAAAAATACTAAAATGTGATGGTATGGGGTGGATTCTCTGCTCATCTTACACATTTGGTTACTTTTCCAAGTGACCTCAAAAGACGACGATATTGTGACGAAATTCTTTGTCACGGTGACTGCCTTACATGGCACGGATGATAGAATATGCTAACAAGACAACGCCCGATCATAAATGGCTACGATCATTGAAAACTCCATCCAAACTCTTCAAATCGTTGTTCTGAAGTGGCCTGCAAGATCAACAAGCCTTAACCCAGCAGAACATCGCTAAGAAGACCTTGACTGGAGAATGAGAAACAGGCCGCACTCAGTATAAACTTGTCAGGAGCTGAAGGCTGCACTTCAATAGGAACGGCAGGGGATTCTTCAGATAACCATAAGGCATCAATTCAGTCACGTTTTGTATCAGTAATTCAAGCTGGAAGAGGCCACACACAATACTGAGCAAACTTTGATTTGGATCTTGCAAGGGTCTGTGTGAATAAAATTATCTCCCTTGAATAAGGAAAGACATTTGTCAACTCTTTTCATGTCATGTTAGCAGAAAATGAATAAAGATCTCACGTACCAAACTTCTCTTGGCTATGTTGAACAGTAAATGAGTTACTGTACTTTTAAGGTGGGTGTGACAGAACTTTTGCAACACGGTACAGTGGGTGTCGCATTCAACAAGGTCACATTCAACGAGAAGTCAGCTCCAACGGGGCAATCCTTAATCCCCCATTTTTTCCTCTATCTCTTGGAAATGTACGTCACCTCCAATGAGGTTGCAAACAGACTGAAGTCGCTTTCAAACAGGTGGCAATAACCACATAAAAGCAATTTGGGCCCCCAAAAGTGAAGAATTTTTCTACTTTCTCTCAATCTCACGCGAAGCACAAGGTCTATCCTCCATTCTTAACACATTGTATTGTTAGATCTAGATATCTAGTGTGCCTCCTAATAATTATGGGCCCCAAAGCCAAGAGGATGGGCGAGGGTTGGCCTATGATAGGGATTGGACAGGGTGGGTGGGAACGCGATGCGGGCTGTGTGAAACTGGATGAACTCTATATAGATTGAGACCTTAATTTTTTTTCAATTTTCTTTTCTTCCCCTGATCAGAAAATCCAAGCTCCCACCTTTACTTTAAGTAAATCTAGGCCTAGAAGTGAGAGGGTATGTTTCCACACGAGAAGTTTTCCGGAAAAAAAATATTTCTAAACATGCAGAAATGACGGTCAGTACACTGACACAGCTCAAACACACGCACTTTGATGCTGTTTGAGATTTCCGTCATCGGGGGAACAACTGTTTTAATTATTGGAATTGGTACATCGTTTAGTATAATAATAATTTTAATAACTTGTCTCCTTTCTTTTCTTCAGCCTTAGTCATGTTCATCGAGAGGTCGGATCCAACGAGGACAACAAGCCGGTCCTGGTAACCCTGTTGAATGCGACACCCACTGTATGTATTATTATATATCACAAGAAGTACCACAAAATTAATATCCAGTTTGGGGGGCATGAGCTAGCTGATGGCAAAATCTACATCTTGTATGCACACTCAAATAGAACTTTCATTTATCTTATGCATGAACATGAGCTCTGCTGAGCGGGTCAACGGCTAAGAGGTTTTCAATCAATTCCACTCATTCCTGTCGAATGGTCAGTTTCTGGTTGCCTCACATAAAAATAATAAAAGTGGGCCCCTTCTTGGTCATTCTTTTACTTTACAAATGCAACGTTGCAACTGGTTCTGTTTTAAAAGTTTCGCTTTCAAATTGTAGTGAGAATAGCATGTTGAAAAAATTCATCTGGAAGCCTGAAGCCACAATTTATCACTTGCACCCAAAACAATACATGACACAAACAAACATGAATAGGCAAATTCATTTTTTTGAATAAAACAAAGCTTTCTATCATTACTCGGGAGCCAGTACAGCACAGTTTATTCCTATTTTTAAGGACAGGCATGTCTTGCATGTAAAAAGTAGGAGGAAAGATAGCTCTAAAAACTTTTTTTAGAAACAAAGCAAAACATTTATACCAGCAAGGGTTGCAACATCAGTAACATTGAGGACAGATTGTCAAAGACATTTTTTTTAAACAGAGCAAACACCGGCAACTGTAGCATAGTGGTTTGGTGCTTCGTCACCACATGCAGGAGACCCGAGTTCAATTTGCAAGCGTCGAGAATTATAATCGAGTGCCGGTACTTTGTTCTTTCTGTTGAAATATTGTTTCTCTCTCAGCCCGGATTGGCCAAGACTAGCAGGGTCAAAGACTGCCTCCTAAATGATCCAAACTGTCAATGAGGGTGTAAAAACACCTACATTTAAAAAAAATTGTATAACTCAAAAAAACCCATTTTCTCCATTGAATTGAATATTTTAACAGTCTTTTTTCACATAAATAAGAAATCTTCCACTCTCACAGCTATTCAAATGCGCAACTTCTCCTTCAAATTCAAACACAAAAATTTCATTCTCTTTTCTCATTTACATGCACTTCATCCAGCATCAGGGGCTCAGTCACTTGATGCTCTCTCTACCCACGGGTAAACCAGCTTGCCAGTTGCTAAGTTAGACAAGAACTCCGCCCACGTATGCTTTGGAACCTGTTCTGTCCTGGTTTTGGGGAATGACAGGGACACAAGATCCTTTCCAGGTAGCTGACTTGTCTGCAGCGGAACAGGGATGGTGAAGAAAAGACAAATATATTGATTAGTCAATTGACAAGCAAAAAAATACGAAATATCACCCATGACCAAATTTCAAATAGAAAAAACGCTGGTGGAGTGATGCTATTTATATTTATTTGATTTTGATGTCAATACAATGTTGGTGGGTGGTTTGCGGGTGCTCTGAAGTGGTTTGCTCCTTCTTTCCTATCAAACATCATTCATCCTTATCTCTCCTCCTTCATGATGTACAGATCACAGCAGAAAAACAAGCACGTTCTCTTTGAATGTTTAACTCCTCCTGAACCTAAGCTTCAAACCGAAAACTCCAAAATTTAAAATCTTTCACAGAGGCACCAAAAGCTTTGATGGTGTCAAGCTGAACTACTGTCGAGTTGGCACAGACTCAAATCCCCACTGGATCATTTCCATTATAATTAGTTTTTGTTCGTTTTATGGGGTTTCAAGGTTCTTCATCCACTCAGAGAAGGATGTTTAACTTTGAGGTTCTGCCTCATAAATGACCCTTATGTAGTTTTAGGGGAATTAAACCCCTACCATACCCTACATCTTCAGGTGGTGGTTCAGTTTAAGGGCTACCACACTATGGTGATCTACTATAAGTAAGTCCCATCCAATCAACCAAAGGCTGCTGTGGTATGACACATCGAGCTTAGTGTAAGTCCATCCTGATTGGCCATGGTAATGACAGCGGTGGGGTCGTATGTGGGAGGCTGGATTGCTTCATTTTGCCATGTCATTTAAGATTAAACAATTTTTCAAAGATAAAGATTACGATTGACATGTGAGTTGCGACAGTAAGTGACTTGACAGGGCTATTTTCAAGAAATCAGGGGCACCCCCCCCCCCCTCGACAAACTACAACCACCAAAATATATTTAATATGGCCAATGATAGTCTGCATAAACCAGAAATATAGCAGCAGTAGAACTTCAACAAAGCCAGAAACATTGTGGCAGACCTTCAACCTGTCCTAAGAAATTTGCGCCCGCAAGCCACAACTTGCGCGTGCAACTTTTAACCTCGGCGCAACTTTCTTCCATGACTAAAAATAACTACGCCAAGGGGGACAATTCGCACCTTAAATAGATCTATCACTTCCTTCGCATTATAGGGTGCCCAGTGTCCATCGCGGATGGGATCGGGTTGGGTCAGATCGGGTTGGGATGATCACCCAACATGTCGCCGGAAAACAACATGTCTGTTCTTGAGGCAACGAGTCGGGCTTGATCAACTTGTGCCACGAGAGCCGCTTTGCCCCATCAATCTGTCGAGCAAACCGACCTGATCCGACCCCCACATAGTCCTGATCGAACTGAATCATCTTCTAGCTAGATCTAGAGTCTAGAGTAAATCAATCGTAAACACGATCGTCTGATTACTTAGCTTGCTTGGTTCCGTAGCACCAGGTAAATAGATCTAGTATAAAAATTTGTGAAAGACTAGGCTAGGAGGGTAGATCTGGACATGGATCGATTCATCCAGAAAACCCCTAAAGGGGACGTTCTAATATAATCTTACACCCGGAAAAGGGGGTGGGGTGGGGGTCTTGAACCAGTGTAATATTACCCGTTTGTAAGATAAAAAAATAAGGAAAATAATTCATGACAACATAATTTTTTGAAAAAATAACACAAAAAAGAGTAACTATAAATCTACTATTCACTTAGAGTGGTAAACACGGCATTGTGGCGATACAGTAGGTCCTCAAGCGGCAAGCACAAATCTTGTCTGCCCCGGTCAATATCAGTTATAAGACGCACTGTTCTATTATCAGCTACGAGGCTGGAAAGGCAAAAAAGGGATTTTCCAAGAAATTTTTGTTTTTTGAATTTGTTGAAAGTTTGATGTCTTCCTCTTCATATAAGATAAAAATAAACAACTTTAATTGACTATCTTTGATTTATTTTGGAAGTATGTGTGGTTTGTAGTGAGCTTGGGTGACAAGATAAGGGAATTTGGACCTTGCTAGTGCGTAGCTGTGAGATTATTTTTAGAACCATTACCTCATGGCCACCTTTGCTTCAACCAAAGATACTCCACATTGGAGTATCTTTGCTTCAACGTTCTTCATTCGATACTATTTTTAGATTCTGTTCCTTTTCGAGAATGAATGGTCTGAAATGTAGACAACTCTGATAGGTAAAACGGAGTAAAAACGGAAACTTCTAGCTCACTTTAAACTTGTTTACATAAACAGCTGACTGTGTGGGCGTGCCCTGCTAGCTGTTATCATCTGTTGATCTTTCAGTTTTACACTTAGGTTGATTTAAAAAAAAATTTTTTATTGAGTTTTAGCGCTTTAAAAAAATTAATTCACCTTCCTCTAGATCTCTCAAAGCGGACTCCTTACCAAGAGGCCAGCGAGGCGGTCTATGTGTGTGTATGTGTGTTGGTGTGTTGGTATGTGTGTGCGTGTGTGTGTGTGTGTGCTCTCATGTGTTTACGGTGCTATTACAAACGTAATTAGATAGCGCAAACACGGTACGTGAGCCGACTCGCGGCCTTCCGAGCGCGTGATTTCGGTCAAATGGGGGTAATTCAGATCTCCATTTCTTTGCTTTTTTGCTATAAAACACCAAATGCTGAACACTTTGAAAAAGTCCAGATTTCCTTCTTTACAATAGGGTAAGTTGTTTGTATATTATAATCGGAGTATGAGCTGCAGAATCGCTGTGGAAAGGGAAGCCCCTCGCGGTGGGAATGCGAGGTGGGCCGGTTCAAAATTGACACCATGCATTCGAATGCTTTGCAGAAAGATTGAGGAATAAATACCGTCTTTTCATTGGCGGAGAACTATACAGCTTTGAGCGTGGTTTCCCGTGGTTATTATTTTTGGCCTTTGGCATTTGGATAGAAAACCTTGAAAAAAAGCGTCTAAGTTTTCAAAGATCATTTTGAACACGAAATGTGTAAAATACTGGCTAAAAAAGGCACCAATAGAAAGAACCGTTCTTTTTCTACTAGAATAAAGTCATCGGCTTGGAATTATTTTGAATGAATCCTTCTGCGAAACTAGCGGGAGCACTCAGTACACTAGAGTATTGAGCCGACTCGATCACCGCGAGGGCTGGTGCGACGCCGGCCGAGACAACTCTCTGGGTTTTATTTGAAATAATGACAGGTCATCATGTTTGAGGCAATACGAAACCGATTTATAATGATCTCACAGTCATGAAAAAAATTAGGCTTCATTTCTTTGTTAAAATGATTGTACTCTGTTAATGTAGAGATGTTTGGTGCACTTGGTACTCTTTTATTATCTGTCAAACATGGGGTTGCAGCCAGTTACCGACTTCAGCAATATTTGATTATTATATTAAATTGAAACAGCTGCCATTCTCTTAAACATTGACTGAGAGGTAAAAAAGTATGGTACAAAAATTCTCAAGAGACACAGGCCTTTCATAAATTTAGTACAAGAGAACTGCTAATTTTCAAGTCTCTATCTCAATTCTAAGACCCTCATTGCTATGGAAACATGTTGCCATTTTCTCCTTTTCACGTTTCTTCACCTTGCACAATTAAAAGTTCTGTATTTTCGTCAGATATGGTCATATTTACTTCATTTTTGTTTTAAATTGTAGGGAAAAGGTAATAGTTTTTGAAAATGATATTAACTCAGCTTTGAAATTTCCTTCATATGACTGATATTGACCGGCAGGGACACAAATATGCCATCTCGCACTTTATACACAGGTAGATATCTAGGGTACATGACAGGTAGATCTAGTCTATTTTTTATTACACCGGTGTGGTTAAAGTGGTAAAATGACACAGTAAGTTTTTCCAGCAAAGTCCCGCTTTAACCGTATTTAATTAATATGTCAAATGTGTGTATGCATGTTTTTCATGAATACTATTTTGTAAAAGTAAAGCGCATAGAACAATGATTGTAAAACGAATTTGAGCAATATGAATGTCATATATTATTATAAGCAAATAATGTAATATTACGAGATTTGGAGGGAGGAAAATGTAAAAAAAGTGTAGGGGGCGAGGGAAGTCCCCCCCCAAAAAAGGTGTAAGATTATATTTGAACAGCCCCAAACCACGCTGGTCACACCTGCCCAATGTCAGCGAGAGTTTAAGGACCTGAAGCATGTGTCAGAAGACAAACTGTTTTTGTAAACCACGCAACCTCCATGCAGTTTTGTTTTGTTTAGTTTTTTTGGGCAGACATTCACAATTAATTTTTTATTTAGACCTAACAAAACTCATGTTGGTTACTTTGAATGCAATGAGCTTACCAACAATGTACTCCAATAATTCCAAGCGACATTTTTTTAGCTACACACGTCTTGCAACTTCTCTTGCAACTTTAGCTAATTTTTCTTGCAACTTTCTCAGAGGACAGTTCAACTACACCTTCACCCACCTTCATACTAATGTGTGCGCTAGGTGAATTACAAAAGTGGATGGTTTAAAGTAGAGCGCACTTGAGTCTGTAGGGTAAAGGTTGACCGTACCTGCATAGTGAGAACCAGACAGTCCTTATCTTTGGGAACATGGTGAACGTTGAACACAACAGAGCCTGTGGATTAAGCAATATGAAAACTAAGTTGAGCTGACTTGCACAGAAAAAAAATTTAGTATAGTATAATTATTCATCAAACGAGATGCTTTCTTTTTTTTACACTATATTATTACCCTGGCCGACTCTAAAAAACTCACAATAACATTCAAAACTTTCTGTGAAGCATACAGCTTATGAACAATCTGTTTAATAAAATTAAACTTGAAATATAAAAAAAGATAAACAAAAGCAGGTGCATAAACTAACTAGTTCTTTTGCATGATGAATGGGATTGTGCATAAACCTGCCATCATGTGAAGTGTGTACCGAAGGGACCTGTCAAAAATGAAGACAACAACAATATAACACGTTGGTCGAATGCAGAAGACTCGAAATGATGCATCCGTCAAACTGTGCCTGCAGTCCCGTTTTTTTCTTCTTCTTTATCTTTGTAAGATATCCCTGAAACTACCGATGGTGGTCCAGACGAATTTGAGTTATCAGTGTTATACTGTATTGACAGTGGCGGTACCAAATGGGTCAGGGCTACTTGTTTACTTTAGTTTATGAGAAGAGTCTGCATAACATGGACTTCACAAGAAAAGTGTCAATTTGTTCATCACTCATACCACAGCACACAAAAAAGACCACTCTTGAGACACAGCAGGATGGTGCACTCTGCACCAATTCACGGGACTAGCAACCATACTAATACTGCCTAGAGTTAGCATTGACCAACATTTGTGTCAGACAGGACAAACACTGTGGGCTTTACTATAAGTTCATGTACTGTGCAAGGTGGCGGAACCAATCAACTTCCCCCCACAAATTGTAGATTGACACAAGAGACGGCCAATGGTGTTCCATAGAATAATAATGTCAGTTCACACAGAAAATCATACTTTGCTCTACTGGGTTGCGCCACAGACCTATTTAAACCATCCTTGAGTGGTGCACATCTTGGGGCTGAACAGGAGAACAGGGGAGGGTGCACTGTAGTTATTAGACCAATTCAGGTCTAACTCGTGCCACTTTGAAAGAGATACTTGTTACCTACCATAGCTGAGCAATAGGAAAGGTTTCCATTCGTCGTTACAGAATTATAATAAAAAGTTGGGAGCTACAAAAGATCTGACCTTCTATTCATATGTTGGCGTGTACCTGTTAATTTTGCCAACCTGTTCACTGAACACTATGCACAATCCTATGATTTGCCACTGACTATTACTATAGTCACTCATCTTGAGCACTGTTTGAGCACAGTTACCCCCATTTCTCCATACATGGATGTTTAAATTTGATGTAAGGCATTAAGTGTCATGTGTCAACATTGTGGTTTCTCTCAATGTAAACTGAACTAACATAAATTGCTGCTATCATTGGCCTATATGTGAACCACATGTGCATATTGAGTGTCAAACTATGTAATGACCTATCAGAGATATTTTGTCTTGCCTTAGATGTCAACAGTTTAGCAAAATGAAACAATGATGCATTTAGGAGAAAGGAGTGTGCCTTAGGACATGCAAATTAGAGTGGGACCTGCTCTAATCATCACCTGTCTAAGAAAATCCCCTGTACAAATGACCACTTCCCCTTTTGCCTTTTTTCTATTATAATGACACTGTCAAAGATGTCCACCTGTCTAATACAACCACTTTTCTCCTCTGCAAAGGGTGGCTGTCTTGACAATTTCAACTGTATTTATTTTAAAAAATCCTTCACAAGACAACCTTACATAAAAGTAGAAAATACTTCCAAAAAGTATGTGCTTCAGTGGATACTATTGTATTGCTGAAAGTAAGTTATTTACCACTCCAGGTTTTTCAGTCTCTTTACAGTACAGCTATATATATAAGTATATACTCCAACGGTTTCTTTCTTTCCCTTTCTTTAACTTACAATTATCAGTGCAAATTCTTACCAGCAACATGCTTCGGAGAAAACAAACGGACAAGCAGGGTGAACACAGGGGTGTGCAAGGCTATAGACACAAGGCGGATGAGAATCCCTTGGGCAATCAACACCAGTATGCGTAGCTGCAATTGGTAAACATGAAAAAAAAATGGGCTACAAGTCTCTCACAGGAAATATCAAATAGTTACAGCTGCTTCTTACTGGGGACCTATTTGAGACAATAATTGAACCATAAAGACGTTAAAACATAACTACTTTGCTTTTCTTTTGTTTAAACAAAGCATGTGAAAGAAACGTACGAATGTAATATTTGCAACTGTTTTCAACATATCATATGTATGGTACGGAAAGAAAACAAGAAGGAAGGACAGACCTACTTAAAAGAAAGATCTTGAAGAGTGACAACATACTGTGCCCTTCAATTTAAATTTTAATGAAACATGGAAGTAAAATCATTGAAGATTAGTTTTGTTCCCCAAAGAACTACCTCCGGAATTCTACATAAATCCTCAGAATATCAACCCAAAAAGCTAACATGTGTCACATACCACAGTGAAAACAGCATAGTACAAGGCTGTTGTTGGCAACAGGAACAACAGCACAGTGAAAAGAAGGGTTCCTACAAACAGCTGGTCTGTATTGTACGTGGCAGAGTCAACACGGGAGCGTAAGGCATTCCATTTCTTGCCTCTGAACAGCCGCCAAAAGGAGCCCAAAGCATACATTTGTAGGTGAAACATCCTAGAAGGAGAAATCAACATTGAGAACACTTTAGATGCAGTGTAATAGCCATGGACAAAACTACTCTCTGTTTCGGTGAGTGTTTCCTTCACAAACAGGGATGTGAATGCTCACATTGAAAATATTTGAACAAACTTGTCCAACTTTCCATAAAGCTAACTGATTTTCCAAAACGTTTGGTGAACTCCAGTAAACACAATTATGCATGCATTCATTTCTGAAGCAACTGTTTATTAGACTTAAAATTATTACAACCAAAGAGACGGGTGTCCTTTTTCTTATAAACCTAAACAGCAGCCACGGCCCTCACATAGAAGACTGGTACTTAAGTGTTAGTATGACCAATATAACTTTACCAACCAGTGGTTCAAAGTCCTTTCATTTGTTTCCTCACAAAACAAAAGTTTAATGTAATTGGGTCCTGTTTAATGAATCATTACAATTAGATCTCTTGAATGCTGTTATGAGATATAATGTAATTCAGTTCCAGGAAATAAACATTTGTATGTGCTATTAACTTTCACACAGAAATTAATTTAGTTTGCAGTAGTTTGTCTAAATGAGATCTTGTGAAATCAAAATAGTTTGATGTTCACGGCGCACCGGCAGTGGAATTTTAGTTGCCGCGGGGGGTTCCCCGCCGGGCGCCTTATCACGTCGGGGTCACGGGGGCCAGCCTCCTGTCGCCGCTCTGTCTGGGCCAACTTAATTTTTGGTACTTTTCAACGTACAATTTAAGGTGTATCCTTGTATTTATGGCAATTTTCATTTAGTGCACCCAAAGCACGCATTTCTGCTCTTGAGACTCAAAAAAGAACGGACGTTGTAACTTGTCTGGTTATTTCGTTAGACGCGCTGGAGTCGGCAATGCTAAATTGTAATTTTTTTGGACTAGCGTGAATGAAAAAAATAAATATTTTAAAAAAGGCCTCGTCAAAATCTGTCGAACTTTTGAAACATGAACGACATAGCATTGGTGCAGATACTCAGAAAAGATGGTATCTGCGCATATAATAGAAAGCTGTAATTTTGCAACTTTATCCATCGGGCACAAATTTGCTATGAAGTAATTCCTCCAAATACAACTTTATGTGTCTAATATAATTGTGAATACAGTCGAACCTGCCCTGACGGCCACCTCTATAAGACGGTAACCTGTACAAACTGCCACTTTCTGTTTCCCCCCTTGCGTTTTTTCTATATAATTTAACTGTGTAAAACGGGCACCTGTCCAACGCGGCCGCGGCCACCTTATTTCAACACACAACCCCTATCACACTAAGCAATAACACCCGTCTAAGACGGCCATCTTAGTGACTCCATTTCGTTTAGTCATAAATTGTGCTTTGGCCCCTGGCGTTGTGGGCCAGCCGTCATAATTCAATCCCCTGTCGCTGTTGTTAGGTAGTCCCTCCAACCGATCATGTTGCGTAGGCCCCTCCTACTGTTGACCAATAGCTACCAATTTTCCGCTGCTGGTGAGGTAAGCGTGTGATCCCTCATAACCCATAAGCCCCGCCCAGAACTTAAACACAAATCGTAAGCGAGATGAGTGGTCACTGTTTACCCAGTCTGTAACAAAGTAACAAAGGACACTTGTGAACTTGTGACAGAAACGTCGCTCGTTCTCCGAGTGGTGGCGACCCAGGAGTTTGTTTTTACTTCGCACTCAGTCTTCCTTGTCTGATACATTTCGTTTTATTGTCACCCTTTTGCGAAATCAGCAACGAAATAAAAATTACAAACAAAATACAAACCACCACCACCAACAACAACAAAAACAACAATGCGGCTACTTTCGATTGTGACCTCTGATAGGAATAATTTGTTTTCTTCTTCTTGATCAGTCCTGCCTAAGACAGCCACCTGTCTTATACGGTCACTTTTCTCCTTGACAATGGGTGGCCGTCTTATACAGGTTTGATTGTATTCGCATATTTTCTCGAAAGTTTATAAAAGTTACCATGAAGTTTCTCTATGAAAAGTACAAATCAATTTTAGAGCTAGAATACATCTTCAATGTAGATCTAATACACGAACAGTGTCTGTTATACTCCAGAAATTCCTTACTTTTCTTAAAACGCTAAGTCTAGGTTTTGTAAGTTGACTGAATAATAGGGATGACTTCTCGTAATTGGGTTATAAGAATAATTTCTAGCTTTCCAGGGACACTGAATCAGCACCAGACTTTTCTAGCTTTATTTTTCGTTTCTATGACCATTTGCAATAACTGACAATGTGACTGATTTCTTTACATTCATAATTGTGTCCACGCATATTTCCGACACAAAAACTAAGAATGAATGTGTTAGCTGTCATTATTTTTATTCCATACAAGAAGTTTATCTCTACCCGTGTATTTACACGGTTTTGTGGTTTTTTTAATCGCTTAGATTCTATATTATATCTTTTTAGTTGTATGCAGGCTGCCACAGACACAGCATGATTCATGAGCAAACGCAGAGTAACTTTCTCTTGTTTAATAGTAAAATAAGAGCTAACGCTGATTGTCTTTAGTTAAAAAATGCAGATGTGCATCTTTCTTCTCTTATAACTTGACTGTTTCTACTCGCGCAGATTTAAGATTTCTCATGGTAAAAGACATGATATTCGCAGTCAGTAGTTTAGCACAGATTTTGGAGAGATCTGTCGTGCCTTTGTTAAATTAACAATCATTTATTCATAAGTTTGTAACTAAAATAGGACAAATTGGGTACTCTACAAACACTTGTCTAGAACAAAAACTAAGGCACAGAAATTAACCATTCTAACGCAGAATAAATTTCAAGACATTGAGCTTTTAGTACATCCGGTTATGGTTTGCTATGTGGGATGGGGAAGAAGTTATATTGTTTTAAACATAGTCAAAAATGAGAACTTCCTAACTGACACCGGCAAAGTCGCTTCAGGGCTCATTGACCCCGTGACTCCGAGCCGGGGAGCTCCGGCGGGCTGCTGAGTCACGCGAACTAAAAGTAACAGAATCGGGTGAAAAGTGACGCCGTGTGTTATGAAAGCATTCACCAAAAAGGACCTGAAAGATTGCGTCCACCGAGCTACGACAATAGTTGTAGCAAAATAAGAGTCCACAAAATCGAGTCCAAACCACTTATCCAGGTTTATACTGAAAGTAACAGGTCGTTTGTGGCTTGTAAAAACTTTTGCTAGCTTGTTTTGATCCAGTTTTTTGCCAAGTCCCAATTAATTTTGTTTTTTTGTCACCGCAAATCATGGCTAAAAAGCAAGCACTGAAATCTTTATGGACGAGAAGAAAAAGAAACAACCACAAAAATCTACAGTGCCACGCTACTTTTGTGTTTGTTAAATATGAACCATGTTTTTAGGGTTTTTTAGGCATAAATGGCCAAAAAAGTGAAAGCAGACATAAATCTAGAAAAACAAGGTGATCGGGTTGATTTTAGTTCCTTGAAAACTTCGAAGAAAAGCTAGATCTAGACCATAGATTTACTATAAGTTGCTATGGGTAAATCGAGTGCCGACGAGTCGCAGTTGGACGAAGAATATAATGTTTTTTTCGGCTTTTTCCTTCCTCTTTCTCTCTAATAATATTAGAAGAATATTTGAAGTAAAATCTAAGCAAAATTACACATTGATAGCTAAAATAGTTTGGGCACAATGCGTGTCAAAGGTTGGTGTGTCGAGTTCAGACCGATTTTCCCCCCAGGCCCGCAGCAATGCAGGGTGAATTGGGTTAAGACAAAAATTATGATGACTATGTCTCTGTCGAATTCATGTGAAAGATAAATCAGAGACAGTGATTTCTAAGGGGCAGGGCGGATTTTAAAATTTCTTAGTCTAAGCCAACAACAGCAAACTGTTTTGAAGACAGCAAAAAATATGATATTACAAGTCTATCAAATTTACATTCTGAAACAATCATCATCATTTAAGCCTATGATACTAGTATTACTTTACTTCTCGGACTAATCCAACTAACCTACCATCCCTCTGTCCATTTACTTAACTGACCTAGCAGCATACACATAGAAACAGTAGATATGCAGTGTAAGGGTGGACAGCATGTCTGAGACGAGGCACAGTTGGCAGGAGGCTCCCAGCACACCAACCCATGAGGAGTACCAAATCAGAGTTGGCATCACAGACCTTAGAACAGTCAGGTAACCTGAAAATAAAAGCATACTAATAATGGATATATATATGAAAAGTAGCTCATGAGTACATCACTACATCGTCGGCATAGAATTCTAACCGTCTAACTTCAAGATTTTCTTGAATTGCGTTTTTCCTTAAAATAGATCGACAGGACGAATGGCTACGTCCTATTAAAATTCTGAACATTTTTGACCAACAAGTCTTGTTTTATAGAGAAATTCTAACTGTACATTCCGACTAGCTTCCATGATAGAAGAATTCTAACCGTCTAATTCGTTTAGGTCGCCCGCCATTGTGGATCACGGGAATAACGCATAGCTCCGAAGGAGGTGTTTGATTAAAAAGGAGAGAGACGGAAGAAGATCAAAGTTCATGAAGTACCATCCGCGGGTGAATGGGGCCAGAGTCAAAGTTATAAGGTTTTCTTTGTTCTACAGTACTCTGTAACAAGTGAGTTCACAATGTTCTCACATGTGGCTTGGGTGTAGCAGAGGGTAAGGCTCCAGTTCAGAGAAAAGTGGTGAGGGAGGACTCTACAGAATCAAAGGAACTTAAATAGTTTCTTCGTAATCTGCCCAAGTTGCCATCTCACGATTGCTTACTCCTGTAAGTTATACTTGGTACCTGTTTTCCAGAGCTTACAGGCAGTGTACCGCCATTTGTATAGACAAAAGTATGGGTCGGGGGGGGGGATACTTTCTATCTTCAAGTTTATGGAGGAGTTCAAAGCTATGAAACTGTCATTGCTACATCCTCGAAAAGATAGGTGTGATCTTTGTGTAGGCTTTGAGGAGGGGAATGTGGAAGAGGGGGCATACAAAAAAAGACAGCAGAAAGGAAAAATGCATGGGCAGCCCCAAAATCAAATGCATCACCATGGACCTATACTCAGTTCTGCTATATCCACGCACTACAAGACGAAATTGCGTGTACACAATTTCTCAGTATATGATCTAGAGAGCAAGAACTGTGTATGTTAAGTCTCAAATGAATGCGAGGGTGCTCTGACTGCAAATGAATTTGCTCCTTGTGTGGCTGATTTTTTGTCAACTGATTTGACTCCAGGTGAATGTATCATCAAATGTGGCTACATGTATCAGAACCGCAATGTCACAATGAATTCGGCACTGTTACATTTCAGCTGTGTCAATGGTATGACTGTAACACTGTAATTACTAGAGAAGGGCAGTACACAGACGTAGGTGGACAGTGCTCATAGCACATCTACTGCCCAGCTGATTATGTCAGGCTGATGGAAAAAAGTAGGAAAGGGAAGCCATATGTTGTCAAGTATTTTTCTTTTCTGATTTCACCAAACTGACCAACCTGAGTTCAATTAGACCCCTTCAATACACACCAGATGGTCAAATTAAATACAAACAGGGATTTGATGATGACTGGTCACATCTGCCATTGAAGCGTGGCGAGTCCAGAGACCTTCTCCATAAAGACATGAAGGAACTGCCTCTGTACCAGGGTAGATCAAACACATACAAGAAATGAAATCTCTTGTGCCATCTGACTACCACCAGTGCATGTTAAAACCCATGGCTGAGTATAATTTAATTTGCAGTGTATTGTGCTTCGGTTTATGTATTTTATTTTTAGCAAGCCAGAGCTTTAGCTTCATTGGGTAGAGCATTCTAAAGCCTTTTAGTGGTCTTTGGACAACAGGATAATTAATGCCTGTTGACACTGGATGCTGTCATGGCATACCTCATCTTACTGACTTTCTATGAAAAAAAGTGTTATTTAGGCATAAATTGAGTGGGGATGGATTCTATGAGGTTAAGTTGAGCTTAATCATATTACTTCTGGAGTCTTCCAACCGAGTTAAACCATGTTTTTAGAGTTAGAAGCATTTTAATTTCTTCCACTGGAGAACTGGTGGGTTGCTTTTCAATCTTGCTCGACTCCAAGCAAAGACCAAGATCAACAAACCAAACAACAGTACGAGACCTTTTCTTCGCCGATGATGCTGCTCTTGTTGCTCGCAGTGAATCAACCCTACAAATAATCCTGTGTTTAAGAAGATTGAGACGGCAACTAGATTTCTAAACAATTCTCTTAGGAGAACTTACGCAAAGAAAGAGACCAAGTGGAGGGTCAAAATTGAGGTACAAAGACACCTGCAAAAACAGTTTATCAAAGTTTGGAGAAGACGTTAGCATCTGGGAAGAACTAGCTGAGGACAGGAAAACATGCAGGAAATGATAAAGGAAAGAACTATTACGCGTGTGACTGGAGAGCACCCTCAGAAACAACCTGGTAACCAGGCTGAGAAGCGCCAACGATGAAAGGAAAACAGTAGAAATACAGAGCTTTGATCTGCCTGACATGCAAGCACTTTGATAAAATCAACACTTCAAACAGGAAAAATTAGCCATAAAAGAAGCTTCATGAAGACAACTCATATACGAAAATTCTTCTCTGCTCCCCCCCGCTCTCTCTCTCTCTCTCTTTCTCTCTCACTACCTCTCTCTTTCTCTTATTCTCTTAGCCCCCCCCCCCCCCTCTCAGTCATCCCCCTTTCTCTATCTTTCTCTCTCTCTCTCTCTCTCTCTCTCTCTCTCTCTCTCTCTCGTAGCAAGACAAGTAACCAACCCTTCTTACAATTTCCTTGAGAATGGTGGATCGAATAGTAGCTTTATAGTAAAATATAATTTGTGGACAAGCCCATTGCCTACTTAGAATTATGAGGAAATAAAGTGCGACGTTCAGTTTTGATATAATAACAGTATCATTGTTAGATTTTCCATCTATAACACCAGTATACAAGTACTATGTAGAACTAATTAGAGCTTTTATAGTAGGCTTCCTATTGATTTGACTGCAGGCCTAGTCATTTTAAGCTGTTCGGTAACGTTAACGTGTCACAATGACCGAGTTAGACGCAGCGAAGCACGTGGCGTCCGCGTTGGGTTGGAGAATTCTAAACAAACATTTCGTTCGTCAACACTTGAACCCTTAGAAATCCAAAAGTGAGTGGTGTATCCGTATAACTCTGGTTTAGGACTTGAAATAACAAAATTTCAGCAATTTTGATATAAATACTTGATAGTAGAGTCATTTTTTCCAGTCTAACCCTTTTAAAGGCAGTAAATCCCCATAAGTGCCATTGAATTCAGTTTTTTCTTTCTCCTCCAAAAATTTCGAAATCGGAGTCAGACGGTTATAATTCTCGGCCGACGATATGTCTATCAACTTGACCATCAGTTCACCTGACTTTCTGATGATCAATCCTTATATTTTGCATAAAACAGTAAGGTTTTAAAAGCAGATATAAAAGCAACAATTCCACATAAATCCTTTTACTGGACAATTGTACAAATGGAAATTGCTCTTTAAGTAACCCTTAGGAGAAGAGTAAATATAAGTACATTTTTTAGTACTTATATCCACAACGTGAGATTAATTTTTTAAAAGACAAATATATATATACGTCTAATGCCTACATGACTTTTCAAAAGGTCAAAAAGATATTTCTTAAAAAAACAACAACATTCAACATCCCTTGTAAACGAGCAATATATAAGACAAGCAGTGGGTATATGAAAAGGAAGTGTCTATGTACTCCCCGATTGGGGTCTACGTAGTCATGGTGTCTAGGTGGACCCCAAAAATGTTTACTTGTGATTGGCTCGCTGAGCGAGCGGTAGTTTACATTGGTTGCAATGCAAGGCTGCTAGGCCTACTTACTGATCATCTCGGGTAGTGATTGGATTTATCTTGTGTTACTATTTACTATAATTAATTTATTTTAGCCGAGAGAGAGAGAGAGAGAGAGAGAGAGAGAGAGAGAGAGAGAGAGAGAGAGAGAGGAGAGAGAGAGAGAGAGAGAGAGAGAGAGAGAGAGAGAGAGAGAGAGAGAGAGAGAGAGAGAGAGAGAGAGAGAGAGAGAGAGAGAGAGAGAGAGAGAGAGAGAGAACTTAATGAATACACGTATCTAGATCTAGATAATGCTGTCTATCTAGAATCTTAAATCTAGAGATCTAGAGATCTAGATGATCTATATTCTAGATCTAGATTTAGATCTAGAAATCTAGATTCACTCGCCACAATGGCCGTCATGTAAACAAATGGGACCGCAATTGTACAGGAGTGCCGAAACCGTGCACCGAAAAAGAAGCCGTTTGAAACTAGTAGACTCCAGGCCTACAAAAGCAAGTAGGCCTACTGTTGATAATTATGATAGTAGACCTGTGAATCAAGTTGCATGATAGGCCTAGAGTGTCTCCGCCAATTCACAGGCGAGTAGTCAAGAGTCGCTCTTCGGTCATATTCGCCCACCAGGCCACCACTAGATCTAGATTTAGATCATCTACTTTCCGAACTGCACACTCTTGGCTGGGTGCACAACAAAATCTAGACTTAGATTCTAGATCTATATCTAGATACGTTTATTCATTAAATACTCTCTCTCTGGGCTAAAATAAATAAATTATAGTAACACTAGATCGTCACACTGCCCGAGATTATCAGTAGCCAATCACAATCCAATGTTTTTGGGGTCCACCTAGACACCATGACTACGTAGACCCCAATCGGGGAGTACGTAGACACTTCCATATGAAAAAGTAAGAGGGAGACCAAGCCACACATACCAGTCCAGAGAAAGATGTGGTACTGGAAAAAGAGCCCCATAGTCTTGGTGAGGTGGGCATTGAGCTTGAGACCAGCAGGGGCTCCCATCAAAGCTTTCACTAGTTGACCCAGTTTAAGGGCTACATCCTGAGGGTGAACAATTTGTTCTTAAAGAAGATGATGATGACGATTATGACTGCGTAGGTAACAACGCAGAAAATTTTGTAAATTCCTACTAAACTACACAACCAAAACCTCCTGATTTCTACTTCTTTTCAACAATGATGGTGATGATGACAATATATTAGCAAAAAGAGTTTTCAAAACAAAATCACAGAGTGAAATTTAAAACTATTTAACTAATAAATTTGCCTTCTTCTGCGGTAACAGACAGTCTTGACTTTTGCTATCATTTTCAAATTTAAAATAAACACAATATATTTTAAAAAGACAATAAAATATATGCAACTCAAGACTACGATCAAATGGTCATATTAGAAAGTAAGACATGAGAAAGCATAACAATTTTTTAAAATCAAACCTTTCAATTATGTTTAATTAAGAAGCACAATGGCAATGAGTGAGAGATGGATGCACCACATCATTTGACAGCAACAAATAAATGTGTCATGACGAGGTGGAATCAGGCGCTCGTCAATTTTTGGGCATGTGGAGTAATAGGTATTGCCTTAAAGCTTGTATATTTGCCTTGCTATGTATATATGAAATAACCATTCATCTTAAATGCAAGTCGAGATATTTGCGAATGAAGGAGGCGAGGGTCCCTTGGTTTCAGAGAAAAAATTAGTGAGAAAATGGCTGTCAAAATTTGGTTATTTAAATGGCATGAGTGTCCGTGGAAACTGACAATTTACATTTTTTGCGTGCCTTTAATCAACGCTTTTTAGCAAAACCCACACAGAAATGGGTTCTTAAATGGACATGAAAGGGGCTGAGCCAAAAACAAATTTCGATAAAAATTGCCAAACCGGCAGGAAAATGCCAGTTTCTTCAATTTCATTATTTTGACGATCGCCAGATTTCACCACACTGCCTCACAGATGGTTCGTGAATAGTGAATTGTGTTGTGATTGTATTTCCCTGGATTGAACAAATACTTCAATTAAAGGAGTTGGATACCTCGTTTGTTTATTTTGAATTCATAAAAATTAATAAAAAGTGACTCAGATTCACTAAACACATAAAGGAGCAAGCTCGTACTTAACTAAGTCACCTGCAGGGTGAACAGCCCCAGCTGGCATGGCTTCGCTCATTTTTCTCCAGCAACGAACCTTATCTATTCCTAGAAACCATCCACAGCACCTGCATCATGAACCACTATTTGCTCAGCCTATTGCTTATATCTTTGTAACCAATCAGCAGCCTTCTTTCATGTCAACACACTTTTTGTTAGCAAGCACACATGTATTAGCACGTGTCGCGGTCTAAAGGATGGCCAGCACACGTGTGATGTGTGACTGAGTGTGCATGTGTCTAGGGAGCTTAAGCGGTGCGGGCATGGAATGTCAGTAGAGATACAAACATGTCACAGTTACCCCCCCCCCCCACTGAGCAATATTACAATGATAAGTTAATCTTGACATAGATAAATCTTCTACATACCATGAATTGTGTGCTGGACTGTGAAATCAAATGTTGCTGTATGCGAGGGGCTACACAGCAACATAACTTGTTCAGAAAACTATACGTTAAAGATGATAGATGATGCAGGTGTGCAATTGAACGAATTGGCCCTTTCGCACAGAGTGTGCATGTTACGTAGAGTTCGGTGTATTTTCCTGGAATTTTTCAGAACTTTTTCGGTATGGCATCAAAGAAATGAAAATGCCTCTCATTTGAAACCAAACTGTTTTTTGTTTTTTTTTTAAAGTAAAGTTCCCTCATCCGAACTGGACATTGGGGATTGCCTCGTTAGTGAGACAACTTCCTGGGCCTTTGGTATATTGTGGTAGGGTGGCCAGTTCCCTTCCACGCCGCCTTTACTTCCCCACTCAAAGTCAGGTGCCCATTACTGCTGGGTTGGCAAAAGGGGGTGAAAAAAATACATGTCCGAAACAAGGCTTGAACCCGGATTTTCTGCTTCGGAGACGAACGCACTAACCGCTCCGCCACCACACCCTCCTGTTTTTGATTAAGAAAGTCAAATACATCATACATTACTTGCTTGGTGCCTGTAACTATCTAAACAAAAACTTCATGTCAGCTATAAAGAACACTCGGATTCAACTAAATTGAAAGTCAGGCCCGACGACTTGATTGAATCTGAGTTGCATTGAACATTGAATATAACTTTTTCCATAAGAAATAAGTCCGAAGTAAGCTTCCACCACAAATTGTTCTATTCAAAAGGCACAATATACTAATACACAAAAAAGACATAAATTTGAACATATCTAAAAGCACTCACATCAGCCCATCCTATGACATTTCCGGCCAACGTTTCTGGTAACTCAAAGTACACAATAAACACACAGATGCCTATGCCTAATGCTGTGTCCAACAACTGCTGACAGTAGGCATTATATATCCTGGGAACAGAGCAGTCGAAACATTAGTTTTGTCATATATCTGAACTATGAAATATATACAATGAATTTTTGGGGGGGGGGGGGTCTAATTTGCTTCTTTTCAACTCAACTTTTCACATAATCCATTACATTAGAAAAAGAGTAACTCTCTAAACAAAAATAAGAATGGCTATAACTCTACATAAATTTTAACATTCACATTAACAACAGGAACACTGAAATACTTGAACCAAAGTTACAACAAAATACAAAAGGGTAGTTATTTTAATACGAGGTATATATTGTACAACAGGTGCTACTTACTTTACTGTCCTAACAAAGAAAAGCTTGCTAACAGAGAAAAGACAGCAATTTAAGATGACACTTGTAAAGCATGAAACACTTTTAAACAGATTTCGCAGTACAATCGAAATTGCAGAAGAAAAGCTTAGAATTAAAGAAGCAGGTGACTGTGCAAACATGGTTAAAACACTTTTTTTAGAAGAAATAATTTCAACAACCACAGAGTGTTTTTCCCCATAAGCTATTTTAAACTTCAAACTGATGCCTGTCTCTTCAAAACTTACAGAAAGTGCTGGTAACGGCTTCTTCGTATATGACTGCCAACAGTCCAGCAGTGTTTGTAACGCTCAATGAGATGTTGGCAGGTACTGGGTCTTGACAGAACGTACAAAACAAGTGGATGGAGTCTTTGGGTACTGGAGAATACAGTGCAGTAACAAAATATTTATCATCACTGGAAACAAAACTATGCAAGTCGTTTTAGTTTAGTTTTAGTAAGGTTTTACGGCCCTCACAACTCCATAAGGTCATATGAGCGCCAAGGGGTGGATGTCAACAAAGAAGTCCAAACAGGGAATCAGGCTTACTCTGCTCACCTCTCTAACCTCAACAGCACAAAGTCTGCTTCGACTATAAAGGCACCCCGGAAACAGCAGTTCACAAGAGAGTGACAAACATACAAAAGAAGTAGAGGTATGAAATGAAATGGTACAGGTATAACGCCGCTATTAACACTATTGGGTTATTTAAGAGGCGGGACTTCCGAGTGTAACATCCATCTCCGAAAAGACCGAGCCAAATGGGTGAAATTTGTGTAAAAAGACTTTCCTGAGGACACAACGTCGGGCCGAGCTGAGGCTCGAACGCTGAACTCACAATCTCACGATTACGAGTCCGGTTGCCAAACCACTAGGCCACCGACGCCACTAATAAGTAGAGGAAAAAATGACCACAGTAAGGATGAGGAAAGAAAAAGCAGCAGTTCTCCTATGTTGTTCTGGCACAGTATGAGCATGATATCGATAAATCAGCACATTTACAATTCTACTGTACATAAGAACATGTTAATATCCTCCCTTTGGGAGATGGAAGTCACACCAAGAACCTGGCAGCATAAGATTAAGACAAAAAAAGTAACCAATGTTTGAAGCAACAAAAATAAAACTTCCATTGACCAGAAAAAAAGATAAATACAAAGTTTCCTGAAAAGATGCTAAAAAAAAATAATTTACAACAGCAGTTCCAAACAAAGATCTTGAAATATCTGTTTCAGAGTGCCTTTTCATCTCTTTCTCAATGAAGAGCTATTTGATGCATGTGGTACTTCTTGTACAAATTACGAGACTGAGGCCATCGCCATTGAAGCAGCAATCCTCCATCTGACCAACATTTTCATAATACATCCAAACAAAATCAAGAACACTATTATCTTCACAGATGGAAAGTCAGTACTCCAAGCTTTGGAAAACTTGAATTTCGAAAGCCCAGCCTGCCTATCTGTGGCTCAAACAATCAACACCTTCATACAGACCTATGCCGTCGACCTGACACTACAGTGAATACCTGGCCACAGCAACATCCCAGGAAACGACAGAGCAGACACCCTTGCCAAGAAGGGAGCATCACAAACACAACCACACAACCCAGTATCACAACAGACAGCCAAAAACATCATCAAATGCAACACCAGGGAACAGTGGCTGAGTGGATGGGCAATGGGCAAAACTGGAAGAACTGTATTTGCACACATGACAGCCCCCAACTCTAAAGATGCAATAAATTCCCTAAGTAGAAGAGAACAAGTCACGATCTTCCGCCTATGAACACAACACATACCACTAAATTCCTACCTTAATAGGATCCGCAAGGATACCCCACCCGACTGCCTGCTGTGCGACTGCCAGGATGAAACAGTACCACACCACCTCTTTAACTTTAACTGCCCAGCACTTTGTGACCTGCGTAGCACCTACCTACCTGCCTCCCCAGACATCGGAAACACTCTATACAGCGATAAAGCACAGCTGATTAAAACCTGCAAATTCTTTGCCATATCAACAGACCAAAGGGCTGGAACCAAAATGGCCGCTGGATCGGAAAAGTAAAGTAAAGTAAGTATCTCTTTCTCAAACATTTTTACAATAGAAAAAAAATAATCACATTAAAAGTGGAAAGCTCAAATCCATTTAATAAAGGCATAAGGTCTTGAAAATTGATAAAAAGTACAATATTTATTATAGTTTTATTTTAAAAACCAGTAAGCATTATTTACAAAATACAAAGCAGAGAGAATGATAAATCAGCTTACCAATTCTCCACCAAACAACCACAAAAGTTCAAGAATGACAAGAGCAACCATGGCAATAGGTGAAAACATTTGGAAGAAACTGCAGATTTTGGAAGTTCATGAAATGTCTTCACAGAAACAGGACTGACATTAGAAACAGTGCTCAGGCATTGCGACAGGACAGCAACGGTTTCTTCAGATTTCCCACTCTCCTTTGGTCCTTTGAAATCTGTCAAACTAGATGTGAAGCTTGAACTTTTCAGTGTGTCTCTGTGCAGGTGAACTTCAGCCAGGACAAAAGATGAAATGACATCTTGAGGCGTAAACAGTATACAAACAACTGGGGGCTCTATTGTAGTATTTGATTCGGTTCTCACCTTTAGTGTGCATACTATTTGGTCTTCTGCATTACTTGACAGAGTGACCCACTGATTTAATGAAGAGCTTTCAAAATGTTGTACAGACTTTGAATTTCCCTCACTAGATCTCTGCCAATAACCTATCACATTTGAAGGCAGCCTTTCAGTGTCAGATGAACTTACTCCATGAATGCATATCAGTTTAACACTTTGCCTAACCTCTCCACATAGATAACCTGAAAATTCAAACTGAATTTGAAATGGCACGAAAATATTCCATGACTGCTCTGAGGAATTCAAGTGTCTTTGCCTGATGCCCATCTTGGAAGCTGAAGTGCAGACTCTGGGAAAACTTGTTACAGCATCTAAATGTGAAGAAAAAAACAAAACAAGATACATGTGAGGAGAGTTATCTTTAAAGTTGAAGTTGAAGGATAATCATTTCTACTTTTCCAGAAATTAGGGGTCTCCACAAACTTCTAAGCCAATTTACACATTACGGTCGGTTTGAATATCCGGTGTATTGCAGGTTTGTTCAAAATCAATGTCTTCCCTGGAGTACACCATTGTCTGTTATCAAATCACATTCATTTTTACTAATTAATGAGAAAGATTTGCGTCTGAGAAGTGGTCAGAGTTCAAGTGAATATACATCTTTTCAAATAGGTCTGGGAGTCAACAGTCATGGACAATATATTGCAAATATTCACAGGCCATATCTAAAAGTAGGAAGACAAACAAAGGTGAAGTTTGGATTCTAGGACCATTTTCAACAAAACTCCCAAAACTGAGGTTGAAGAGAGGGAGGTGAAGGTGACAATGAGATTAGGAATAATCAGGAAGATTATATCCGCTTTGATTAGGATTACAATGCAATATACCGGTAAATAAAGTCATCTATATGAATAATATGTCTTCCCTGGTCAAATTCAGTCGTAAGACGCAGTGTGCTATTATCAGCTACGATGCTCGAAATGCAAAAAAGAGACTTTTTATGAAATTCTTGGGTTTTTTATCTCTATCGAAAGTTTAATATATTCAGCTTCATTTAAGATCAAAATAAAAAACTATAATCGACTATAAATATTTTATTTTGATTTATTTTGAAGGTGTGTGTGGTCTGTTGTGAGCTTGGATGACGAGATAAAGGAATTTGAACCTTACTAGATCTAGAGTGTAGCTGTGTATAGAACCATTACCTCAAGGCCACCTTTGCTTCAACATACTTTATTTGGAATTATTTTTAGATTTTGACCTCTTTTCGAGCATGAATGGTCTGACATGTAAACAACTTACTGTCACAATGGACGACGGGGTAAGAACAGTAACTTCTAGCTCACTTCACAAGCTCGTTTACGTAAACAGCTGACTGTGTGGGGGTGCCCTGCTAGCTGTTATCGTCTGTTGATCTTTCAGTTTTACGCTTGGATTGGCTTTAAAAGTTCGTTTTTATTGTGTTTTAGTGCTTCCAAAAGATTAATTAACCTTCCTCTAGATCTCTCAAAGCGGACTCTTTACCAAGAGGCCACGAAGGAGGTCTATGTGCATGTGTGTATGTGTGTTGGTGTGTTTGTATGTGTGTATGCGTGAGTGTGTGTGTGTGCGCACACACACTCTCTCGTGAGTTTATGGTGCTATTGCAAACGTATAATTAGGTAGCGTAAACACGGCACGAAAACCGACCCACGGCCTTCCGAGCGCGTGGTTTCGGTGAAATGGGGCAATTCAGATAGTTGTTTCTTAGCTCTTTTGCTGTTAAACACCAACTACTGTAAAAACTTTGAAAAAGTTCCGATTTTCTTTGTTACAGTAGTGTAAGTTGTTTAACCGAGTATTTGGAGCTGGACAATCGCCGTGGAAAGGGAAGCCCCTCGCAGTCAAAATTGACACCCATGCATTCGAATGCTTTGCAGAAAGATTGATACTTAAAATTTAAATACCGTCTTTTCATTAGTGGAGAACTATACAGCTTTGAGTGTGGTTTCTCGTGGTATATTTTTGGCCTTCTGACGTTTGGATAGAAAGCCTTTTACCGGCTAAAAAGAGGTACCAATAGATAGAACATTTCTTTTTCTATTAGCATTAAGTCATTGGCTTGGAAATATTTTGCATGAATCCTTCAGCGAAACTACCGGGAGCACTCAGTAGTGAGCCGATTCGCTCACCGCGAGGGCTGGTACGGCGCCGGCCGGGACAACGCTAGGTGCTTTTATTGAAATAACGACAGATCATCATGTTTGTGACAATAAAATACTAATTTGTAATGGTCTCACAGTCTTGAAAAAAAATTAAGCTTCATTTCTTTGTTACATTGATTGTTCTCTGTTAATGTACAGATGTTTGGTATACTTAGTACTCTTTTATTAACTGTCAAAGATGGTGTTGCAGCCAGTTACCGACTTCAGCAATATTTGATTATTGTTAAATTGAAACAGCTGCCATTCTCTTAACTTAAGAATTGGCTGAGAGGTAAAAGTATGGTACCAAAATTCTCAGGAGACATAGGCCTTTCAAATGAAAAAGATGAATTTGACATACAGCTACTCTGAAAATTTAGTATTTGGTACCTTGTATAATGCTAACATTATGTTGCATTTGACATCAAGTCCATTCACGTGAAAGTTTTGTTTTGTCCATAAGTTTTTCTCTAGGAATGAATAGTTTTCTACTTCTGTGTGTTAGCTTACAGTGGCATAGCCAAGATAACTGCCAAATTTCAAGTCTCTATCTTAACTTTAAGACCCCCGTTGCTATGGAAACATGTTGCTTAACTTCAGAGGCCATTTTCTCCTTTTCGTATTTCCACACCTCTCACAGTTAAAAGTTCCGTATTTTCGTCAAATATTGTCATTTTTACTTTATTCTTTTTTTTAAATTGTAGGTAAAAGGTGGTATTTTTAGAAAATAATGTTAACTCAGTTTTAAAATTTCCTTAACTCATTCGCTACGCCGAGCCGTGGGGGGCGGCGCGGCTAGAGTGCCGTCAGTACGCTTAGCCGCCCCCGGCGGCTCGAGAACCGACGTTCAATTTTAGCTTGGTTTCTATTCCAATCCACATATCCATGTTAAAATAAAGGTCATAATATAAAGTTGACTTCCGGGTCAAGCGTTTCCACCGAAAATCGGAAGTTTTGATTCAGTTTTGAAACACGATTTCGAAGTTTATGCGACATTGTTTTATCGTGAAGCCCAAATTATAGCCAGACACCAGTCTTTGTACTTTTACACAACAAAATGTATCATTATTTTGGTCACTAAAGAAGTGTAGGACTCTTCTTATAATATTGATACTACTGGACTCAAATTGCCAGTGCACTGTAATTGAGAAATCAATATTTTTGAGTGCTAGATCTAGGCCTAGATCTAAATAGTCAAAATATTTTTTTTCTCCCCAAAATCACTACTTTTTGGTGAATTTACTCAAAAAGTACCATCCAAGACATGTATAGGTTTATTCCAAATGCAATTCTGAATAATTCCATATAAGATACGAGTGTTTTTTTCTGTTTGGGATCCTTTTTTCAAAATTATTTCAAAATTATTTTTTTTCAATATCGGAGGTTATGATCCAAATGTACAAATATTATGGAATGTATGAAAATAACTGCTTATTTTTCAATATTTTCCTGTTCTATATACATTTACGGTTATTTTGATGTATAATTTGACTAGGTGCAAACATTTTTTGAGTTTCAACTGAGATTATAAGTTTTTTGTTTTCAAATTTTATCCGCAGCCAATCACAATTGTGTTGCATAATCGCCTCTTACAGGAACCAAAGTTGAAAAATACTCAAATAAACAATACAGATGTATTCTACAAACCATACTGAAAATGTTGGTATATAATATGTTGATATTTATTTGAATTTATGGCCCCCAAGACCTGTGAACTGCGCACTAGTCATCATCTCATTTCGCCCTCCCGAAAAAAATTCGTCTACAAGCCGAAAATAATACGTAGCGAATGAGTTAATATGACTGATATTGACCGGCAGGGACACATGAGAAAAGTATTAACTCAGGAGCTAAATTATCCCTGACACTAATGCCCAACTCTAAATGATAAATCTCTCAGTTTTGATCTTTCCAAGACAACGCAGGCATGTAAAACTGTTACAAACAGTGCAGGACTCCAAGGCCAAGCAGGCAACCCCGTCCCCCCCCTCTCTATGCACACACACACATACATTTTGTAACTGATTGGGTTGTCCTCTAGTAAGCCTCTTTATTCAAAGTAACAAGTCCATACAATATTCTTTGATTCATGAGCTACTCGACTTCTTTGAAGTGGTCATGAAGTAAAGCAAGGGAAATAACTGCGAGGGTAAAATGTTCAGCTTTTCATGTATAGCTGTTGTTTTTGATTTTATCTCGGTTTTTAGAAACATGAAAAGGGTTCATTTGGGGATATATATCTTTTACAAATTTCTGTTTTAGTGCAGGACTTTTTGTAAATCTCTGCTAAATTTTGAAACATGATTGCTATTGTCAGACAATTAACTTAAGTTTTCTATCCTCTGATAGCATGAAAAGTACTTGGTATCACAATAAAATGAAAGAAGAATGGATAATAGAAGCACCTTGTTCAGTGTCGAAGCAAAAGAAAGAAAGTTACCTTTATTTATGACTTTAAAAAAATCACGACACTATTATCAACACTGGTCAGAGACCCTCTTGTGTACTTTCTGATCCATACCTTCAAATTCAAACAACCATACTCACACACACATACATGCACACAAACATAATTTACACACTATTAGGCCCATTGCAGTGCCGCATTGTCTGTCTTCGATCACACTCACACCCATCTTCAAATGACTAGATTCGAGTATAGTCTTCTGCTAGACACACAACAAGTAATCTGGCCCCGCGGAAAATTGCATTTTTGAAACAGAAAAATTGCAGAAAATTGCAAGGTAAACTGCCTAAAAATTGCAAACAAATTGTAATCTACCCATCCCAGGCACATTAATACGGGCTTAACATTTTTAGTTTAAAAAACATGATAATTTGAGTACCGTAGCATAAAAGCAGAGAGTCTTTTAAAAAATCATGACCCACATTATACAAATTTTATTAACAACATTTACATGAACTAGTAACCACACACGACTATGTTAAATAAAGTTATCGACCAAATATAATATAATACCGCGTGACCCAAAATAACAGAACCCTCGGTTTTCGTAATAACTTTAAAATGAAGGCATAAAATTTGACCAAATTTAGTACATACCGGGTACTTGGTTCATGCAAAGATTTAGAAGTCTAGTATGAGATTTAGTCTATAAAAACAACAAAAAATTGATGGGAGATTCGAACAAACTCTAAATGCAAAATTAGCTTAAAATAAGCCCCAA